AAAAATTTAATAATTTACGATTTACTATCTAAATATCTAAAAACAAAAAGAACTGGTTTCATATTTTACATAATGCCGTTTCAAATGCCTTATTTGAAGAAAAATATTCACTAATTAAGGTTTCAATCCTTAATAAATTACTTTTAATCGGTTACAAAAGAGTTATGTTTTCCTGGTGCTGAGTTGTCTCGGTCCTGAGTTTTCCCGGCGCTTAGTCGGCGGTGTTGAGTCGGCGGTGTTGAGTCGTCTCTTCCCGAGTTTTAACAGGTTAAGATTGTAGTAGTCGGGGAAGCGTTTCCTCAAAGTACCGGTTCAAATCGACTGACACAATTATCCCAGCTTTCTCTCAACATTTAAAACAGTCTGCAGAATTTTCTTTCGTTCTCACCTTTAGTAATCCTCACTCTTGTCCACAGTTTTAAATTTGATCCCTAAAATCTGACGGGAAAACATTTTCTAGAAGAGAGCTAGTCTGTGGAAGCACTAACAGATACATACGGGTGATACAGTACTTTGACCAATACGCAAATTCATCTCTCTTCCGACAGGAAAGTATTTGCATATTCGCAGTAAGTTCTCTTGCTAAGTTACATTACAATAATAATAAAAAAAGACAGTTTCTCGAGATTTTCAATACGTTCCTGGATAGATTTCGTAACTTTTATACATTATCATAAAAAATACTAATACAGAAGAAATATTTACAGCATTAAGACCTGACTGGTGGCTGTGATAGTTGTATATTGTCTGTCGATGATAGAAATAAATGCTGTGTAAGTAGCTAGGATTTCGAATGCTAACAAACCCGTAAACGTAACTTTTTTGACACCCTATGCTTACTTTTTTAACACTCGCCGACATCAAATCTATGGATACTTGTTTTTCCAATTGTACAAACAAAACACCTGTATATATTTTTTCATGCGAAACAAAAGCATATCTATTTCTTTTTGTCTCAGACGGAAACGCATTTTGTGAGAAACGTAAAGACTATCCCTATGTCTACCTTTTTGATTCATGGATTACAGAGAAAAGGAATGTCTGGAGAGCTAACAAGTTTGTGGGTTCTGTGTGTATATCTTAGATGACAGTGCGGGTACAATATGTAAAGAAAGAAGATAGAAGCATACAAAAAACATTGTTTGTTTTTTTTGCTACGAACGTTTATTCCTTTTATGTCGACTAGATTGAAGTTAAAAGGTGTTTTGTGTACGTTCGCTTTCCGTTTAGTTCCCAAATGATTTATGTGAAGTAATGATACGAACGGGTAAATATTGTTGAATTCAAGTCAGCCTCGCGCTGAGTTGGAATCACCTTGAATGTCTGTTCTTCCTTTTTGGTTCTGAAATAATTTATGTGAAGTAAGGATACGAACGGGTAAATATTGTCGAGCTTAAGTCAGCCTCGCGCTGAGTTGGAATCACCTAGAATGTATGTTCTTCCTTTTTGGTTCTGAAATAATTGATGTGAAGTAAGTATCAGAACGAGTTAAGTTTGTCGGGTTCAAGCCAGCTTCCGGCCGATTTGGGATGGCCGAATCTCTACTTTATGGCGATTTTCTAAGCGGGGCTTAGATGTGGCACATGGCCAAAAGTATGTGGCACCCAGTGAAACTCACTACTCATTCGTACTTGTATTAGTTAGACAAGCTTGCTAACCACTACACCATATCGAGGTGCCCAAAGTCTCCACTTCATGAGCAGGGCTGCTAAAACACGTCGGGTGGTGTTGTTGGTAAGTAGAAAAAGTTCGGTCGTTAGTTGACAGGAGAAACTGACATTTGTTTCTCTGCTTGCTGGAAGTCATGGTCTGTTGTCCCAGTTTTAAAGAACTCTGGTGAACAATCTCATCTTTTATCCATCTATCGGCTTCTGCAAATTTTTGTGAAACTCCTTGATGCCCTGATCAATGCTGAATAATCATCTCTCTTCACAGGGCTCATTCAGCAACAGCTTTCATTTCTCAAGATCAGCTGCTGATGTACTAATGATAATTCTGGGAAGGGTCTGTCATGTTCGAGATGAAAACGGTGAAGGACGGGCTGTAGCATTGAACATCTCGAATATCCCTTGAGAAGGTCTGTCATTCAGGTCGTCTCCACAAGCTGAAAATCTACGGTATCTCCGGGCACGTTTTTGAGTTGATACACTTGTTCCTATAAAATTTGTGAAATGAAAGTTGTCCTTAACGGCCACTCATCTACATCCTTTCGTACTAACGCGGGTGTTCCCCAGGGCTGCATCCTTGGTCTCAGGCTGTTTTTAATCTTCATTAACGACCTTCCCGATGACAAGCTCTGAACTTGGCATATATGATGACGACATTATCATTTATTCTTGTCTCGATAGCAAGGCTGATCAGTCAGACAAACATCAAAATGGCAGCCGATGAACAAAACTACTTCAAGACCGTGGTTAACTGGGGCAAAAGATGGCTTGTCAATTTTAACGCTTCCAAAACTTAACTGCTTTCCATTAATCATCTTAGAGACCCCTCTCTATCTTCCATCAGCATGGCGGATGCTATCCTCCAAGGTGACTCATTGCTCCTTCTCAGGCTAACATTCTCAGCTGACATGAGCTGGAAAGGCTACATTGAACCCGTCACTAGATGTGTCTGTTCACTGTTTTGTGCGTGACAATTTTCTCTTCGGAATCTAACTTGTATATCTATACGTCTACCGTTCGTTCATGCTTAAACTAATGCTGCCATATAGGGTCCGATTCCCCTGATATTTATCTGCAGCTGCTTGATAAGATCCAAAGAAAAATCAGCAATATTATTGGTCCTGGTGTGGCGGCTCGGCTTCAGTCACTTGCCCACCGCCGTAAGGTTGCTTCTCTGTGACTTTTTATTAAAAATATTTTCATGGTAATTGTTCAGATGAGTTCTTCGCTATGGTACCTAGACTGTATGAATTTCAGCGCAGTACTAGTTTGGTGGCGAGATCTCATCAACTTGAGCTAGCTAGATGTAGCTGTAACTTCTGTGCTAACAGTTTGTGATTTCGCACTTCTCACTTGTGGAACTCCCTCCAGGCGCCATGCTTTTCAACCAACTTCAATCTGTAAAAATTTAAATGCAATGTTAATCGCTATCTACTGTCATCCTGATTGCTCTTTTCTTTTTCTCCTCATTACAAATGTTTCTGTTCTTAATTTCTCCACACCCTGTAACCCATTGTATGCTGTACCGCCTTGACTGGGATGATACTGAAAAATAAAATACCCCCCCCCCAAAAAAAAACAAAATCTGTCTTAAAACTTTGTCTAGGAATTGGAAGACATGTTTTGGTATTTCGATGCGCGTTCGTTTGCCATATTTCCTGTCGTCTGTAAATTCACTGCCCAATTTCTGTACCTGCTTGTTTCTGATATCATCAGTTCATTTCCCACACATTTGGCTTTGAGTTGCTGATGGTCGTACATTCTGGCTTTTTGCAGTTAATATGCAATCTGATTAAAGAATAAGAATACAACAGTCGTCATGTGACTAAAGCAAACGAAACGAAGAAGATTGTCAATGAGATTAATGTAAAATAATGGTCGTCATGTTTACTCGTATGGAAGAATTCTGGAATCAAAGGGATTTTTTTACCATCTGAAGATGACGCGCGTTTACTTTTATGCTAATAATCGGCTTTTTTTTAACATATCTAATTAGTAGAACGCTTCATTTAACTCATGGGATGCATAATGCATTTTGGAAAAAATCTTTTGAAAAGACTTCATTCCATTTAGATGGATAATGTAAATGAAGTTAACGAATTTCATTGAAGTTCAAACGGATTCCTTTTCTTTTATTTAATTCAGGTTGAAGTGATATGATTCTTTTCTTGGTTGACATCTTTCTTTTATTTGGTTAGAATTAGCAAATCTTTATGTCATTTGAATTTCCTCTACGTTCTCTCTTGATTTTTCTTTAGCTTTCTTTTCTTTTTTCTTTTTGTTTCTTTTTTCATTTTAATTCTATTTTGCAATACTCTTTTTTCTTTTCTTTTTCTTTCTTTCGTAGACTGTTAATATCTAGCCTTACTTCTGTTACTCTCGTCTTTTTTCTTACACATTCGTTTTTCTTTACCACTTTTTACATTTTAATTTTGTTTTTTCACAATTTTTTTCTTTCTTTTTTCTTTTGTTTCTTTCTTTCTTTTAATTCTATTTTACCTCATTTCTCTCCTTTCTTTACTATTACATTTTACCCTGTCTTTCTACCCCGTCTTTCTACCCCGTCTTTCTACCCCGTCTTTCTTTCTTTCTTCCTTTCTTTCTTTCTTTCTTTTCTGTTTTGTCCTTATTTTCGTTCTTTCTTTGTTTGCCATTCTATTTTACCCTTATTTCTTGCTTTCTTTCTTTCTTTCTTTGTTTCTTTGTTTCTTTCTTTCTTTTTAATTCTATTTTACCTCGTTTCTTTTCTTTCTTTTTTTACTATTCCATTTTATCCTTCTTTCTTTCTTTCTTTCTTTCTTTTCTGTTTTATCCTTATTTTCGTTCTTTCTTTGTTTGCCATTCTATTTTACCCTTCTTTCTTTCTTTCTTTCTTTCTTTCTTTCTTTCTTTTTAATTCTATTTTACCTCATTTCTTTTTTTACTATTCCATTTTACCCTTCTTTCTTTCTTTCTATCTTTCTTTTTTTCTAATTCCATTTTACCCCTATTTTCCTTCTCTCTTTCTTTGCCATTCTATTTTACCCCTATTTTCCTTAATTCATTCTTTCGTCCTTTTTTCTAATTTTATATCACTCCTAGTTTCTTTCTTTCTTTCTTTGTCCTCTTCTCGTCTTCTTTTCCCATCTCTTTAATTTCTTCTTTATTTTCTTCATTGTGTTTCCTTCAAATCGTTTTTATCTTACTTCAATGCCTGTTTCTCTCTATTTTCTTATTCTTTTCATTCATCTTCCTTCATATTTCCACTTGACTGACTTCTCCCCCGCCACCTTATTTACCCTCGACCTTCTTCCACCCTTCTATTTCCTCACGTGTTTCTTATCATCTTAACAGTCGTTCTTTTCATCCATCGTCATTGTTAACCAAAGTATTTTCCTTCATCTTCTTTCCTCTTTCCTCTTGTATTCTTCATTTTCCTTCTCTTGATTTTCATCACACTTTTCTCTTTTTCGTCCATTTTCTACGCTTTCTTTTTTACTTCCTCCGCAAATCATTCGACCTTCGATCAGCAGTGGAGTGTTGACTTTTCTTTCCCTCTTGTAGTCCTCCATACTGAAGGCGGCTAAAACTCACAGGAGGAAAAAACTAAAAGCAAATCACATACTAAAAAATGACGAATGCAAAAATCGATACTTTGTTCTGCAAAACAAGCCACTAGTAACTGGCTTCGACGAAGCTACATCAAATAAAAAGCCAGCAGCTAAAAAGACTATTACGTCACTTGTGACATAAGCACATCTTTGGAAGGAATAATGTCAGAACTCGACACATATCAAGTATTTACCATATCTGATGGAAGTTAATTTTTCTTCTAGTCTGGAATCTGTAACAAACTTGTATTTTTTCTACAGACATGAAGTTATCATTTTTGTACAAAAAACGCCTCCAGAGTCATTGAAACTTGAATTTTTACATTTCTATTTTCTGACCAATGAGGGCCGTCAAAATAGGACACGTCATTTATGCCATTTGCAGAGGATTTTGTTTAACGAAAGCGAAGGTAGTAATTATTAAAAAAAAAAACCTTATTGTCGTTTCCCAGCTAAATTGTTCAATCCCTTTGGACATCGCGTTACGACTAGGGCAGCCCTTATATATATATATCTCTCTCTGATAAAATATAGCTTTAAGGACTGCAATATTCATGGGATAGTACGTATGTAAATATAAAATATAAAAGTGGACATTGAAGTCGACACTCAAAAGCGACAGTCTGTTTCATGCGTTGGCTTCAATGTCCACTTTTATATTATATTATATTTTATTATATTATATTATATTTTATTATATTATTGTTGTGGTACGGTCCACCTAATTTACATAGTGGAGTACCGACCATATAAATATGGGTTGGTACCGGAAGACGGGGGAGAAGTAAGAAGAGATCCAATCTAGAGACTCTGCCCTACTGCGATTAAGTCAACCCATTCTGCAGGAACAGTCTTCCCAAGAATATACCAAAACTAACTGTAAATATTGTGTACCTTTTCCTTGTTTCAATACATTTTGTTTACGTACATTTTGTGTTGTATTATTATTATTCCATGTTTATCCAAGCTTCAACAATTATATTATATTTTATTATATTATATATATATATATATATATATATATATATATATATATATATATATATATATAATTGCATGAATCATTCATACAAAAAACAAATATAGAGGTTAATGATTTAAATGGCGAGAATACATCTTCGCAAACAATTTAAATAAGGTACACTAACCCTGAATCTGTATATGAATGATATGATCCCTGTTTATAAATTCCAGTTTCATAAGGTCTTTTTAGTTTTTACAAGCTTTCGTCTGTTCCTACAGACATCCTCAGGTATGGAAATAGATTTGTTCTTGTTTTTTACTTCTCGGTAATAAGAGGACAACGAAAATATAGATGTAATCCGAAAAAAATTCTATGAGAAATGTGTTATTGTTTTGGAACGTGCAGTCGCAAAGCTGAGTTTGAATTTCAAATTTTAAGGTATATACATACATATATATATATATATATATATATATATATATATATATATATATATATATATATATATATATATGAATAAAGTAAATGAATTTGGACTGAAAACCGACACTGAAGAATTATCTGTCAAACAAAAAAAAATTATCAAAATCAGATGAAAACTGTGGAAACGCATAGACAACATCCGATCACACACACACACACACAGACATTTTGAGTATCTCTATCTATAAAAGGCAGGATGTGTATGTATGTTTAACGAATGCACGGCCGCAATTTTCGACGGATTTGCACCAAAATTTACATGCACATGCTCCAAGTTAGCGGTAAGGCCAAGACCGACTTTGCACTTCCCAACTTCCATCGATAGTGGAAATAATCAATTTTTTCATGCTTCTACGGCAGTTTTCATGTAGTTTGCGACCATTTTGTACTGGCCAGAGTGAGAGCCTATAGTTGGCTGCCACGAATAGGCAGGAAGATTCTATTGGCCGGCGTGAGAGCCAACATCTGACTGACACGAATGTTAACTAGCATGCAAAAAGAATCGATAGCTGCATCCGTCACAAGTGTGAAAAATTTAAATCTGCATGGCACTTTACTAGCAATTGTCTCATACGCTTGCTTAAACTAGACGTTGATTCTGATTCCGTAGAACTGGGTTGGGTGTGAAAAAGTATTTGTTGTTAACATTCTTTTTTCATTAAGTTTTTCCAGTTACGAGTCCTTTTTTAAAGCTGATCGTTTTGTGTTCATTTTGTTTAGTTCTTTTTTCGTAAGAGATTTAATGTTTAGTATAGAGCTTAGAAAAAATTCGCAGTGTGAGATAGGCAAGAAGTAAGGCATGTAGCAACATCAACACGGCTAAGGGCACTCCTTTAAAGGCAAGGAAGGGTAAAAATATTTTAAGTCAAGTAATAGCGATTGCTGTATGAGTCGTACGATTTTTGAATCAAGCACGGGCAACGCCGGGCCATACTGTTAGTTATATATATAGATATAAGTGAGAATATTTATTGGATGAATCGACTGGAAGTTTCAGGACTTGCAAGCTCTGGGCACAGTATTCTCAGCATCCTTCTATGGGAACAAATTCACTGTTTTCTTAAGTCTTCCCTTCGCCTGTAAGTAAATTGTCCAGCAGGCTTTGCTTTCATTTTCTAATAACATTTTCTTGATTCTTTATCTTTTGCTTCATTTCTGGACAGCAACTTCCGCTATTCCAATGCATCTTGGGATTTCGGTGTCACACTTCCCGTCTCCTGTTATTAAAATTCACAGATATTTGGACTTTTTCAGTTCTTTGATTTTGATAGCTCGAGATGTTTTTCTTTTCTGACAACCATACATTCTGTTTTCTTACGATCGGATGATAGTCGTGAATTTTATTTCAGAAGATCAGAAATAAACACAGCGACGACATTATTGACCGAAAATGCAATTAATTAAAAAAAAAAAAGGTTAAAAAAAACATTCTTTCATCAAATTTTCAAAATGACTGCCATATTTTTTAAAAACATTTAAAACAATATATGCGTTTTCCATTTCTGTTCCAACTTTTCAAAATAGCCCGTCGTTGGTATAAAAAGTCCAGCAGCTTGTTATTCACAGACTAATTGGTTATATTGAGAATTTTGGTCCTGTAAATATTCTTCGTAAAAATGTACACATTTCTTTGCGTCTTGAGAAGACTCTCTTAAACAAAGACAGAAATAAAATGAAAAGAAACTATTTAAATTATTACCAGAACGCATATTTCACTAAACTAAACTAAACTAAACGGTACTACGCCACTCTGAAATAAGTACACATAAGATCGATCGATCGATCTATGTATATATCTTTCTAATTCTGTTCATTTTCTATCTTTCTATCCGGAGTTCTCCGACGTGGTGTAATGATTATGAAGATTGTCTCGCTTGATTAATAACGGCTAGTAGCGAGTTCAATCCTCGTTGGGCTCGCGACTGTTTCGCCCTTGTGCTACGTTTAGTAAATCCGTATCTGTCTGTATGTAATACTTATGAATCAATATACCGTGAATTTGACCATTACTTAGAGGAATTGGTAGTTTTCATAGTATCTCTTGAGCTTGGTTTTAAGACTCTGTTCCTTCAGGCCGTAGGCGATCATTACGCTTCACGGATTTTTCTTTTATTATGCGAGAATTGCCATTCATTGGGAAATATAGTACTGTGATTTCCCGATGACTTACCTTCAGTTTATTATTCAGACTTTTACACAAATTACTAAATAAGCGACGAGAAATTATCTGAAAATGCAGACAAAAACAAATGTTTACTCAGTCAGTTATGTGCCATGCGTGATACACACTTAGGCGATCATTTTTTTCCCGCGCAGTAGGTTGCTATTTCTTTCTGTGGTAGACCAGTTACCATCCAAGGCTACAGAACCTGTTCTATCCTGCTACTTATCCGTAGCCAAGGGGAGAAGAGGGGGATTCATACCTTTCCCAAGGGTATTAGCACGTAAATGAGTGTAATGTATTCGACTGAAATGCCTATACTCGGAGACTGTAGTGAGGCCGATTCTCATTGGCTACCTTACAAATTTAGCTTTTTGCTAAACTAAGTTAAATTTAGCAAATGCTTTAGCGCGCATTACGACGCATTATATTTCAAACTTAGGCTTAATTTACTACTACTGTAATATGATTAAATCTGAGTATTCTGAACTATTGTCCTTGTGCCAGATTAAGCTGAATACATTGTGGCTTCCGTTCAAGTATGTTTTGACTCAGAAGTAATATAAACTTTACAAATCAAAAAAATAAAACAACGAAAAGAAAATGGAGTCTAATAAATATTTCTTGGTGTTAAAGAAATTGAGCTCTTCATTAAAAGAAAAGAACATGAAAGAAACATGGCAAATTCTAACAGAATAAATGGAATCAACGCCATTGCAGTATAACTCGAAACAGTGTGAAGAATCAGTCAGTTATGTCCCATGCGTGATACACGCTTAGGCGATCATATATCTTTCGATACATGACTGACGATGCAGATTTTTTCCCGCAGTAGGTTGCCATTTCTTTCTGCGGTAGACCATTTGCCACCTAAAGCTATAAAACCTGGTCTGTCCAGCTATTTAGCCATAGCCATGGGGAGAAGAAGAGGATTCATACTTTTCCCAAGGGTATTAGCACGTAAGTGAGTGTAATGTATTCGACTGGAATTCGAACTCGGCTCTCCGAGCCGCTATCCATTACTCTACCGTGCCTCCCCTATGTTTATTACGGTACTTAAAAATCGAAAACTAAAAAGGAATACCTTCTAAAAAATAAAGAAAAACAAACAAACAAATATTTGCGTGATACAAAACTTCAGATAATGTAACTTTTATGAATTATCAAGAGTGGTCTCCCCTTGCTTTGTTACTGTCCTCTTTGAGAGAGCTACTTCTGTTTACTGGGACTATAAAAGGACACTATACGCGAACCTTGTATTCTCAGTTGAATAAAGCTTTCTTAAAGACTCTACATGTGTACTTTTGTCATTACAGTAACACACT